AGATGATTTCCCACATAAATCATAAATGGGGAAGCCTGGATTCACTTAATGACTGTGTGATCCACTTAAATGCCGCAATTTCCTTAATGACCACGGCAAAAAGAGAGAGAGAGAGAGAGAGAGAGAGAGAGATTGCAAAGTTGGCCGTGACTCGTTTAACAACCATCTCGCTTAGCAAGGGAAACTATCATGGATTTACACTGCTCACAGCTCCCTGGGTCCCCACGATCCCCATATACGACCCTCCCAGCCAGCTTCCGACATGGGAGAAGCCAGATTCTCTTTTAAGGACCCCGTGATTCGCTTAACGGCTGCAATGATTCACTTAGCGCCCCGTGCGGAAGCTAAGGTGGAGGGAAAGAACGGGATGACTTTAGGATTCGTGCAAAGGGATGCATGACACGTTCTGCTTTTCGCTTCGTTTTTTCCCCCCCATCTTGTTCGTTGGCATGTTTGAATAATTTGATTTGGATCCGGGATTTTCTGAATTATATCCAGAGAAATTAATAATTAAGGAATTTGCCGGGAGCCCTTCTCCTGCAATTTGCCTGCTCCATGGGCTGCGAAAACAGCCACTAAGCAAATCACCCCCCTAATCCCACGTGGCCCAAATAATTAGCCGTTTCCCGTTTGAGGAAAATCAGGATTGATGTCTGGAGTGGCGTTTGGGGAGGAAAACAAGGGTTTGCAATCCAAAAATTCAGCCGCCCGGAGAGTTTAAACCCTGGTCTACGTCTGCGGTGGTTAGGGGTTTTTTTTCGGTCGTAGGTGAGTAAAAGTAGCACCTGGAATTGTGTTATGGCTAATTTTTCTGCAGCGGAAGGGATCCAATTTATTCCTCATTTTCCCCTCTCGGTGGAATCTAGCCATGCTCGGGAAATCCAACTGCGGAACAAAACTCTGATTGAATGAGCTGTGGAACAAACTGTGTGGCTAATTCTGTTCAGTTTTTTTTTAATATTCTGTTCTGTTCCATCCTGTAGTTTCTCTCCTCCCCTCCCTTCCCCTCCCATTCCCTCCCCTCTTCTCTCCCCTCTTATTCTATTCTGTCCCGTTCTTCTATTCTGTTCTGTTCTGCCTTCTCTTCCCTTCTCCCTCCCTCTTTCCTTCCCTTCCCTTCCCTTCTTCTCCCTCCTTCTTTCCTTTCCTTTTCTCCTCTTCCCTCCCTTCCCTTCATCTCCTTCCCTCTTTCCTTACCTTTCCCCTCTTTTTTCCTTTCCTTTCACCTCTTTTCCTTCCCTCCTTCTCCCTCCCTCTCTCCTTTCCTTTCCTTTCTTTTCCTTTCCAATACAATACAATAGCAGAGATGGAAGGGACCTTGGAGGTCTTCTAGTCCAACCTCCTGCCTAGGCAGGAAACCTTATACCGTTCTAGACAAATGGCTACCCAACATCTTAAAGACTTCCAGGGTTGGAGCATTCACAACTTCTGCAGACAAGTTGTTCCACTGGTTAATTGTTCTAACTGTTAGGAAGTTTTTCCTTAGTTCTAAGTTGCTTCTCTCCTTGATTAGTTTC